CTCTACAGGAAATAATTCCATTCTGTCCAGATAAGTTCCCATGGGGAGATGTGCTCACGTAATAATAATGGTAAATGTGTCTAATGAGCAGGTATAGGGATCAGATACAGCAAATATAGGAGCTGTAAATATCTCCTCAGCTGAAGCCCCTGGGAATGTTCAACCTTGAGGCGGAGGAGACAAAGTTTTTGCATTTCAATTTCCAAGTCTGCATAGGGACCCATGCTTCACTCCTTCCTACTCTCCTGTCTGGAAACAGTGCTTCAGTCCCTATCATCAACCATCCAGGGAGGAATTTGGACATCCACATGGAAAAATTCCTCCCAGAGACCCCATCCAGGTGAGTCTCAGAGTTCAGCAGTTATTATTATTATTATTATTATTATTATTATTATTATTTAGAGCTCAGCAGTTATTTCAGGAAAGGGTCAGAAAGAATGGAAATAGTGAGCTTTTACTTGAGGTCACTTGTCAGCCTAACCTGGGGCCACGAGACAATTGCATTTGTGTCTATTGGAGTGGTGAACACATTCACTTATAGTCAAATTATTTAATGTTAAAAAAGGAGTGAACTTAGCATGAAAATGCTTTAGTATGCACCCTATGTACAATGCACTCTAATATTTTCTATTGTGCTTTATTTATTCTCTTCTATTTTTAAAATTTTTAAATTTAAGTTCAGTTAACATCTAGTCTATTTTTAGTTTCAAAGGTAGAGTTCAGTGATTCATCATGTACACACAGCACCCAGTGATCATTACATCCTTGTATTCCTTAATGCCCACCACCCAGTAACCCCAACACCCAACTGACCTCCCCCAGCAACCCTCAGTTTGCTTCCTAGATTTCAGCATCTTTTATGATTTGTCTCTCTTTATGATTTTCTCTTACTTCATTTTTCCCTCCTTCCCCCTATGATCCTCTGTTTTGTTTCTTAAATTCTACATATGCGTGAAATCATATGATAATTGTCTTTCTCTGATTTATTTCTCTTAGCAAAATACCTTCTAGTTCTATCCATATCATCGTAAATGGTAAGAGTTCATGTTCCTTGATGGCTCAGTAGTATTCCATTGTGTGTGTGTGTGTGTGTGTGTGTGTGTGTGTGTGTGTGTGTGATGTAATATATATATTTCACACCTTTAGCCATTCACCTATTCATAAAAAACATATTTCTCTCCCACATCCTCCATTCCTGTGCTAGGAGCTCCCTGATTCCATTCTCTCTTTCATCACTGGCAGCTTCTGTGAGCACAGATTCTCTCATTCCTTCTTGAAATATGTATTTATTCCTGCTGTTCCCAACCAAACCATGTCTGGGGGTAAAGGGCAGGAGTCTGTATAACATGTATGTCTCAGGGCACTCACAGTCTAGCAGGGAAACATACATAGAATTAAATAAAAGTTACACAGTGATAATCCCCACATCTAAGTTACTGCAAGAGAAACTTGGAGCACTGGGTGTGGTGCATAAACAATGAATTCTGGAACACTGAAAATAAATTTTAAAAACAAAAATTAAAAAAAGAAAGTGTCCTTTTTTGTGGAAATGTTAAAAAATGAAAACAAACATCAATGAAGGAGATGACTCTTTGTATCCTAAAAGAGGTGATGGGATTATGAAGATAGACAGGAGGTGAATAATTCTTAGGAGACCAGTGGGTGACTCCAAGCAGATGGCAGCAGGTGCATGGAGGCTCTGAGTCTAGAGACTTCGTCTTCAGGTGAATCTACAACTCAAGTTCAGCGTTTGTGACATCGACTTGGACAAGGCAGTGGAAGTGGGAAGTTGGCAGGTTGGTTAGGGAAGGCAAGCCAAGAGTTGGAGTTATGGAATTTGGGGTTCAGTCTCCAATGGGGAGTCACCAAAAAGGGGTAAAGTTGGGGAGTTGGACAGTAACTTAAGTGCAATATAGAAACATCTCTCTGGGTAAATATGAATATTGGCTAGAGGATGCCAAACTCTGGTAGGTGGAGAGCCAAAAAGGAACTGAAAGAAGGTTGTGGAACTGGAGACCCATAGGTGGGGAATCTATGGGGACATTGGAGAGAAGGAAAATCTCAGCCAAATCTAATCAACAGTGATAAGCACTCATCATCAAGGGAGGGAACTATGCTAAGCTTTTTACAAATATTTCCTAAATCTGTCAACCACCTCAAGATGAGGACACCTCTAGTCCTACTATTTGGTGGGTGGGATTTAACATCTAGAACAGTTTGATTGGCCCTCCAAGTTCAAATAGCAAATATATATAGATCTTAAATTCAAAATCCAAGTTTATTATAATAAAGGTTTTGCATTTTATATCATTTAGAAAAGTTTTTTTTTTTTTAAGCAAATACTCTTTTAACATACCCCACTTTGTTGTACTGTGTATATTTCCTTTTGTGAATTGTGAGAGTGTTCCCTTTACTTGTTATTCTGGTGGGATGTTCAATGGGTCATATGTCTTGGTAATGTAAAATCCTCTCTACATTTTCTTTTGGATAAATTTTGTTTTGCTTCTTCATTATTCTGGGCATCTAGGAGCTGTAACTAGGGTTGGAATGTTGCCAGAACCAAGGACATCTTCTCCTCCTCACCATCTCTAGGGCCACTGAGCTTATTAGAACTTTCTCCCCACTTTACATTTTTTTAATTTAATTTAATTTTTTCAGTGTCCAAGACTCATTGTTTATGCACCACACACAGTGTTCCATGCAAGATGTGCCCTCCTTAATACCCACCACCAGGCTCACATATCCCTTCACCCCCCTCTCCTCTAAAACCCTGCTTGTTTCTCAGAGTCCAGTCTCTCATGTTTCATCTCTCCTTCCGATTTCCTATAATTCACTTCTTTCCTTCACTTAATATCCTTCATATTATTTCTTATGCCCCACAAGTAAGTGAAACCGTATGATAATTGACTTTTTCTGCTTGACTTATTTGACTCAGCATAACCTCCAGTCCTGTCCATGTTTATACAAAAGTTGGGTATTCATCCTTTCTGATGGAGGCATAATATTCCACTTTATATATGGACCATATCTTCTTTTTTTAAAAGATTTTATTTATTTATTTTACAGACGGAGATCACAAGTAGGCAGAGAAGCAGGCAGAGAGAGAGAGAGGAGGAAGCAGGCTCCCTGCTGAGCAGAGAGCCCAATGTGGGTCTCGATCCCAGGACCCTGGGATCATGACCCAAGCCAAAGGCAGAGGCTTTAACCCACTGAGCCACCCAGGTGCCCTGGACCATATCTTCTTTACCCATTCATCTGTTGAAGAGCATCTTGGCTCTTTCCACAATTTGGTGATTGTGACCATTGCTGCTATGAACATTGGGGTACAGATGGCCCTTCTTTTCACTCCATCTGTATCTTTGGGGTAAATACCCACTTTCCTTCCTCAAAATTTTGAAACTTTTTTAGTGTTTTTTTTTTTCTTTATTTTTTATTTGAGAGAGAGACAGCTAGAGGGAGATGGATAAAGAGAAATATCACAAGGGGAGGGGGTGGGAGGAGGAGAAGCAAGCTTCATTCTGAGCAGGGAGATTGATGTGGGGCTTGATCCCAGGACCCTGGGATCATGACCTGATCCGAAGGCAGACACTTAACCAACTGAGCCACATAGGTGCCCCTTTTATGTTTCTTTAAATACTGGACACAATATGATCCTATTGAAATGGAGACCATTGATCACATGCTTATAGGAGACTTAACTCCTGGAATTTGGATGCAGTTTGACATTTTTAGGGGAATGACAATCTAATGTGGACAGCTTGTTTTTATCAATGTTTGCCTAATTATTGTGGCTAGACATGAGAATAGTCTGGTGGTGATTTTTTTTTATTCTTTATTCTTTTTTTTCATTTATTTATTTGACAGAGTTCCCAAGCAGGCAGAGAGGCAGGCAGAGAGAGAGAGAGAGAGAGAGAGGTAAGCAGGCTCCCCACTGAGTAGAGAGCCCAACATGGGGCTCAATCCCAGGACCCCAGGATCACGACCTGAGCTGAAGGCAGAGGCCTTAAACCACTGAGCCACCCAGGCTCCCCCGCCTGGTGGTGATTTTTAAAACAATAATTGAACAAACAAAAAGCAGAATTGTAAAGGGGAGTGGGAGATACAGGCTTCCAGTTAAGGAGCAAATGAGTCACGGGAATAAAAGTCACAGCCTAGGTAATATAGTCATTGATATTATCACAGTGTTGTGTGGTGACAGATGGCAACTCCACATGTGGTGAGCATGGCATTATGTTTAAACTGTTGAGTTACTGTGTTGTACATCCAAAACTAATTTAATAATGTGCGTCAATCACACAGGATCTAAAAATTAACTTTAAAAAAAAAAACCTCAAGTGTTTTCTCAGAGTCTTTGCAATGGTTGTTCATTCTCATAGCCACATATTTTCCTAAATAACACTGTGTCTCCTGCTGTCTCCTCCTTGAGGTCTCTGTGTAAATGTGTGTTGGCCTATCCAAGCAACAGCTAAAAATTAACACCATCCACTCTTTCTTTTTATCCCACTTTGTTTCTCTTCATAGCACCTGTCGCCTTCTGACATTCTATTTGATCTTTTATTTGCATGTCTTCTCCATCACTGAACTATGAAGACACTTGTTTCTTGACACCTATACTCTTTGCCTGGAGGCTAGACATTACCCAAGCTTACCTCAAATGTGTGACAGAATTTCCAATTGAAAGTATAGAATACATGAATATATGTGGAAAATGTCAAGTGTGGGATGCACACTCATATTCAGGGCTGGCATTCTCTTGAGAGGGGACATGTTCCATATAAAACCTATAGATACTGACTTTGTGAATGTTAAAAAAATGTAGAATTTCCACGATATTTGTAATGTTCATTTTAGAGATAATAAGCCATGTTATTTTTTTGTTTCCTAGTAGTCACCTCCACTACATGGTACCAGGTAATGATACACAAATGTCAGAATTTCTTCTTCTTGGATTATCAGAGGAACCAGAATTACAGCTCCTTATATTTAGCCTTTTCCTGTCCATGTACCTGATCACTGTGTTTGGAAACCTTATCATCATCCTGGCCGTCAGCTCAGACTCCCACCTCCACACCCCCATGTACTTCTTCCTCACCAACCTGTCCTTTGTAGACATCTGTTTCATCTCCACCACCATCCCCAAGATGCTTCAGAACATCCAGACTCATAGCAAAGTCATAACCTACGGAGGTTGCATCACTCAGATATACTTTTTCCTGTTCTTGGCTGGATTGGACAATTTTCTCCTGGCTGTGATGGCCTATGACCGCTTTGTGGCCATCTGTCACCCCCTGCACTACATGGTCATCATGAAACCCACCTACTGTGTACTGCTGGTTCTGATGTCCTGGATGATGAGTGCCCTGAATTCCTTATTACAAAGTTTAATGGTGTTGTGGCTGTCCTTCTGTAGATTGATGGAAATCTCCCACTTTTTCTGTGAAATCAGTCAAGTGGTCCAACTTGCTTGTTCTGACAAGTTTCTTAATGACATGGTGATGCATTTTGCAGCTGGCTTGTTAGGTAGTGCTTCCCTAGCTGGGATCCTTTACTCTTACTCCAAGATAGTATCTTCAATACATAGAATCTCATCAGTTCAGGGCAAGTACAAAGCTTTTTCGACCTGTGCATCTCACCTTTTAGTTGTCTGCTTATTTTATTGTACAATCCTAGGAGTGTACCTTAGCTCTGCTTCTCTCCAAAGCTCCCACTCAAGCACAGTAGCCTCAGTGATGTATACTGTGGTCACACCTATGCTAAACCCCTTCATCTACAGCCTGAGGAACAAAGACATAAAGATGGCTCTGAAAAGAATCATTGGGGTTCCAGTGATGTAAAAAGTGCACATGATTGCAGGGTTCACAGCCTTGGAAGCAGGAACTGCTGTTCTTCCATTGGACTATGGAAGTAGAATCTGTTCCTTCTATTTATTTCCTAGAATTTTCATTTATTTGAATTTAATTAATTTTCTCCACATACTTAAGTAACTCACTTTATTAATCTTCTGCTTTGTCTGTTACACAATTTCCCCTTTGTCCATTTTCTGCTGTTCCTAATATTTTCCCCCTCTTTGGACCACAAATGACTGAAAATTTCTTTATTTTATAAGGGACATGTTGGATTTCTTAAAGTAATTTCACTTCAAATGACATATATCTTGTCAAGTAAATTTTCCCTAGAGTTACCCAAAGAATCATGAGTTGCATTCTTCATATGGGAGAATCTACAGTTGGTCACCAAGACCTTTACAGAACTTCATTGTAGAGAATAATAATAATAATAATAATAATAATAAATTCCAGTTTTCACCTAGGGTTTGTCAATCTTTTTACATCGCTACTGTAACTCCTTTTTGTTATAATATGTACTCTAATACTGTTCCCTTTAATTCTTAGGCTATTGACAGGGATGCTCAGGCAGGAAAGCCTGGGCACTTACCTGAACCTCTGTGCTTGTGGAATTCCCATAGACTCATCCCTGACTAGAGCCTTTGCTGTGGCTGCACCAGCCCTTGGGTTCTTGTGATTGCAAGACATGCCTCAACAACACCCATCAGAGAACTCTAACAAAACAAGGTTTAATACTCACAGGTACTGGAGGATAGAGGCAGAAAAGCCTGGGGGGTGGAGAGGGAGAGCAGAGTTTCAGAGAGAAAGGCCAGAACTGGGCCCCTACCTTTAGGGTCCCTGAGAGGGTGGCTAGTAGTTTGTAGGTTCACTATTTATGATTTTATTATTATTATTTCTTTCTTTTCTAAAAAAATTTGTTCTTTTTTTTTTCAGTGTTCCAAGATTCATTGTTTATGCACCACACCCACTGTACCATGCAATACATGCCCTCCTTAATACTCACCACCAGGCTCACCCAACACCCCACTTTACTCCCCTCCAAAACCCTCAGCTTGTTTCTCAGAGTCCACAGTCTCTCATTTTTTAATTTTTAATTTTTATGTTAGTCGCCATTCAACACATCAATTGTTTCTGATGTAGCATTCCATGATTCATTGTTTGTATATAACACCAGGGCTCCATGAAATATGTGCCCTCCTTAATATCCTTCAGCAGGCTTACCCATCCCCTGCCTCAGCCATCAGTTTGATTTCTGGAGTCCATAGTCTCTCATGATTTGTCTTCCCCTCTGATTTCCCTCCCTTCATTTTTCCCTTTCTATTTATGATTTTAAAACAGAAGTGTAAAATTCTGGCATGGAAATGGAAAGTGGGGTCAGGCATATATCAGTTGAGGTTACCCAGGGCTTTCTGAGGAGGTACTTCATGGCTGGAACCACCTGAGAGCTTATCTGGTAATAGTGTCACACACCTGACAATATATTTATTCAACATGGCTGTCCTTGAAATGGATGCCTCAGAAATCAAGCTTAATGTCAGGCATTTAGTTTACAAATATGTTACCAGGTTTTATTGCTAGTCTTGTTTTATTCTGTTATTCACCTATGTGTCCAGGAAGCCCAGCATAGCCACTGGCAAAACCTGTTAGCATATATGTGTCTCCCAGCGGACTCTACATGGAAAAACAAATTTGAATAAATAGAGTGATCTTGTATGTTTTCAGTGTCAGAGATGACCATAAATAGGAGGGGACTTTTTATTTGGGTTAATGGCCAGTATTTTAATTATTGGATCATATGTTACTTCTATTTTCAGTTTTTTGAGGAATCTCTATACTGTTTCCCACAGTGGCTGCTACAGTTTGTATTCCCGCCAACAGTGTGCATCAATTTTTCTTACTCTACATCCCCAGTAACACTTATTATTCCTTGTGGTTTTGACTTTAGCTATTCTGACAGGTGTGAGGTGATATCTCATTGTGTTTTTGAAAGCATTTCCCTGATGATGTGTGATGTTTCATGTGTCCATTTGCCATTTGTGTGTCTTCCTCAGAGAAATGTTTTTATGTCTTCTGGCCATTTTAAAATTTAATTATCTTTGTGTGTGTGTGTGTGTGTGTGTGTGTGTGTGTGCATGTATGTGTGGTTGAGTTGTGTAAATTCTTTTTACATTTTGGATATTAACCACTTATTGGATATATCACTTAGAAATATCTTTACCCATTCAGTAGGTGGTCTTTTTGTTTGTTGATTATTTCCTTCATTGTGGAAAAGCTTTTTATTTTGATGTAGCCATTTAAAATGTGGATGGTTATAGAAGGTACAGTGTTAAGTAAAATCCGTCAGTCAGAGAAAAACAAATACTGTATGATTTCACTCATATGTAGAATTTAGGAAACAAGAACAACAAGTAAAAAAATAGACAAACAAAAGACCAGACTTCAATATGGAGAACAAAGTGGTGGTTGCCAGAGGGGAAATGGGTGGAGGGATGGGTGAAATAAGTGATAAAGATAGAGAGAACACTTATCGTCTTGAGTGCTGAGTAATGTAGAGAATTGCTGAATCACTGTACTGCACACCTGAAGCTAATAAAAAGCTGTATGTGAGTTATGATGGAATTAAAATAACAAAAACTTAAGAAATAAAAGGGTGCAACATTTCAAACTACCCATTTTATTACTATCCAAAATATTTCTTTTTTCATGCTGTGCGTGTATTTGTGGAAGCACGGAAAATTAACGTCCACAACTGAGGGGGTTTATTCATTCAGGTGAAGAATTGCTTAGTGTCTTCTATGTTTTATCACAGAGTTATTTTCCTGTTTCTACTTGAAAACTTTCAGTGCTACCTGCTAGTATGACTTTCTCCATTGTTCTATGAGGTAACTCCCTATTTCTAATATTTCTGAGAAATGCTAAGCGATGGAGGATGAACAATATAAGTATCATTGTGTACCTCCTTCATCCTCAGAAATCTCTTCCCATTGCAGATCCAGGAGACTCCTCACATAAGAGCTGGGTATGCTGCTGGTCTTATGGTTCAGAGTCACCTGTTCTTCTGCACAAATGTGCATGTCTTTCATACTCTCAGAATGACCTGAAAGGGAGCACACATACAAGCACTTGTTCATAAAGTCATCGGATATAAGCTTGAATAACAGTATGATCATGCCTATTCTCCTTAATCTCAGAGCATATGCCACAAATAAAATTCAGCACATGTTCTAATTGCTTCAGGTCTGTTTGCTTGGATTATTGTGTCAGTCAGCTCTTGCTCTATAACAGGCTGTTCTTGTCAAATGGGAAATCATAATACCTTTATAATCAAATGGAATTATATGCTGGGGTGTGTTTCTGATCTCTCTGCTGGGTCCCCATGGGTCCTGAGTGTGAATTCCTATGTTGTGTTTCTTTTTTTAAAATTTTTTATTTGAGATAGAGAGAGCAAGAACAAGAGAGAGAGGTAGAGAGAGCGTGCACACGTGCAAGAGAGAGCATTAGCAGAGGAGAAGAGAAGAGAAGCAGGATCTCCACTGAGCAGGGAACCTGACATAGGGTTCAGCCCTAGGAACCTGGGATCATGATCTGAGCCAAAATCAAGAGTCAGATGTTCAAATAACTGAAGAACCCAGGTACCCCTCTACATATTTTTCTAAGACTCATCCATAATGTTCTTCTGTCTTCAGCCAATATGGCCTCTTATTACTACACTTGCATATGTAGGTTAATCTTGTATTCACAGAAAAAAATGATTTGTCATGTGAATTACTTAAATTTAATTCCATTGTTCATATATCCATAATTAACACCTGGCTTTCTCCCTCATGGAACTGTATCTCTCATCCTTTTTATGTGAGAGTCAGCTACCTGTGCTCTAGATCCTATCCACAACAATGTACATTTAGATCTGTTCCATTGAATCAATTACTGGAGTATAACTACACATAATAACTTGCATATTTGAAGTGTACACATTGGTGAATTAAAGGAGACACAAAAATTAAGAGAACATGTTGCAAGTTTCTATTTGTGTGTGGTTTAAGACTGTATATGTTTTTTTTAATTTATTTTCAGTGTAACAGAATTCATTGTTTATGCACCACACCCAATGCCCCATGCAATACCTGCCCTCCATAATACCCACCACCTCTCTCCCCCAACCTCTCATCCCCCGCCCCTTCAAAACCCTCAGATTGTTTTTCAGAGTACATGGTCTCTCATGGTTCATCTCCCCTTCCAATTTCCCTCAACTCCCTTCTCCTCACCATCTCCCCATGTCCTCCATATTGTTTGTTATGCTCCACAAATAAGTGAAACCATATGATAATTGACTGTCTCTGCTTGACTTATTTCACTCAGCATAATGTCTTCCAGTCTGATCCATGTTACTACAAAAGTTGGGTATTCATCCTTTCTGATGACATAATACTCCATAGTGTATATGGACCATATCTTCCTTATCCATTCATCTGTTGAAGGGCATCTTGGTTCTTTCCACAGTTTGGTGACTGTGGCCATTGCTGCTATAAACATTGGGGTAGAGATGGCCCTTCTTTTCACTCCATCTGTATCTTTGGGGTAAATACCCAGTAGTGCAATTGCAGGGTCATAGGGAAGCTCTATTTTTAATTTCTTGAGGAATCTCCACACTGTTCTCCAAAGTGGCTGCACCAACTTGCATTCCCACCAACAGTGGAAGAGGGTTCCCTTTCTCCACATCCTCTCCAACACATGTTGTTTCCTGTCTTGCTAATTTTGGCCATTCTAAATGGTGTAAGGTGGTATCTCAATGTGGTTTTAATTTTAATTTCCCTGATGGCTAGTGATGATGAACATTTTTTCATGTGTCTGATAGCCATTTGTATGTCTTCATTGGAGAAGTGTCTGTTCGTGTCTTCTGCCCATTTTTTGATATGATTATCTGTTTTGTGTGTGTTGAGCTTAAGAAGTTCTTTGTAGATCCTGGATATCAACCTTTTGTCTGTACT